TTGGATTATCGCAAGGGGTGCGCTCACAAGTTCTATATGAAAACCTCAAAACTTTTCAAGTACCACCACCCCCCCTTTTACCCTAACCACTTCTAACATTTTTAACATTGTCTGTAGAATATTACTATGTTCCTATTCATAGTAGGCATGGATGTCTAATGGGTTAAAAAGAACAGTTGGTACTTTGTTATGCTGTACCATGGGAACTCTGGAATGTGATGATTGAGGGTCCTTATATGCCTAGGGTTATATTCAGATGTCATTATGGTCATATCTATATAGGATAGTGAGCAAAGGACCACAAGGTTCTTCTGTCCTCTCTGTAGAGTCTTAACTCTCCCTTCAGGACTCCAGCAATTACCATCTGCTGTTGAACATCCATTATCCTGTAACATCCTTTGTTGTTTTATTATTTATCAGTAACTGTAAGAATAAACCTGAAGAAACCGTAAGTCAGATTGTGTATTTGTACTTTTGGTTAATACAGATGTATATCAACCTGGCGAGCCTTTAGCCTCTGAACACATAAATCAACTTGAAAAACACACAGAGAAAAATGTATTTATTACTTTGCATGAATTTACACAGCTGCACACACTTACTATACTCACTTTTAAACACAACACAATTAGAAACATGCACATATATGCCGTTGTCAAATATGAATACCTTCTTCATCCCTGCAATGTCCAGTTAATAAATACATTTAGCTTGCTTTACCAACCATTTATTAAGGGGGACGGGGACGGGGACATATAAATCCGGTTCTGCTGACAGGTTCAGCAATAGAGGAGAGAACATCTGTGCTTCAGCGTGATCCAAACATTTCATTAGGAAAACAATTCATCACGCAGATATAAGGAATGCAAGTAATGATACACTGTATTGAGACGGCTGGCATAGACAGAATAGGCATCTCTCCCACTGGCATTGGTGATACATAATGTCAAAACACAGACGTCTGACATTTCAAAAGGTTACAAGACTGGCTGAAGTTCTAGACTTATATTGTTTTGAATATTAGTGTTCTAGCAAGTACTGCTTTATTCTGTTATGTTAGAGCCCCTTTCAGAAAACTTTATTCTATGCAGTGTTTGAGAAGACTAAGTAGATGAATAAGCTAGGTGTTAATTTAGGAAAATATATAGAACACACAATCTAATATAGTCTATATCTCTATCTCTACATTTGTAGAATTTACAGCAGTTACTTATTAGGGATCAACCAATATAATTTTTACAGAGCCGATGCCAATACAGAGATCCCAGCATGTACAGTGCTGTTACACATAGGAGTGTGATTGTTCATTCCCTACCACTCCCCTGCCAGCCCTTTCCATGTGTCTCTTCCACCCTAGCTTCTCCATGTGTCTCATTCCCTCCCCCGAGCCCCTCCATATGCTTTGCCCCTTAACCATATGGATGAGCTTGGGGGGAGGATGATACATATGGAGGGGTTGTGGGGGGGGGGATGAGACAGATGGAGGGGCCGGGGTAGACAATCAGACACATGGAGGGGATGGAATGAGACGCATGAAGGAGCTGGGTGGGGGATCAGACACACGGAGGAGCTGGGGGAATGGAATGAGACACCTGGAGGAGCTCGGGGGGCAGGGGGCGGCAGGAGCAGACACATGGAGGGGTTGGGTGGAGGGAATGGGACACATAAGGAGCTGGGGAGGATCAGACACATGGAGGGGCTGGGGGGGAGGGCATGAGACACATGGTGAAAGGGGGCCAGGGCAATTTTCACACACAGGTCCACCAGTGGTTTCTAGTTACACCTCTGTCTCAAGTACACTCAACTTGATTAAATCAGTTCTATATGAACCCACATGTGAATTAAAGGGACAAGCAGGCATTATAGAAATAAATGACATTTCTGTAGGATATGATACAAAGAGCTAATACATCATCCCTTCCATATTTTCCTTATAACTCTAGTGACTTGCAGAAATTGCTATTCCTAAAAGCAGCAATTCTGCACCTACCTGTTACAGTACATGGAGTGTGCACAACATGCCAGACCCCACTGCCTTCTACAGACTCACTTATACATGTCTAAATAATATAACAGGAGCAGCATGCCAGCGTTTATAAGTTTGCAAAACAGTTTAATTATGCTCTTTTCTCATGGGCTTGGGCAATATGTTCAACACTCCTACAGGTTTGTCTGAGATGTGTCCAACCTTTACTGGTTCCTAGGGAACTCACTGCAAGAGCTGCATGTCCTGCGGATTTGCAGCAAACGCATATCCTTCAATTACTTTACAAACACACAAACTCCCACTACCCTTGGACATCAGCAATGGATACAGTATCCATCAGCCCAAAACCATAGAGTTTGGTTCGGAAATTCGGGTAAGTAAAATAATTTGTCTGCTTCAGCAATTCGGACCAATGGCATTCGGTTCGGCACTTCAGAACTGCCGAACGTCGTCACTTTCGGAGATTCATAAGCATGCGAATGTCCGAATTGCATGAACTTTGTACGAATGTACATTCGGAACGAAACAAATTGCACATGTCTACGACACATGAATGCAAGCCAACTCCCTGAGACAGCCTGATTTATATACGATCCTCCTCAATGACTCTGTGTGCCTTCATTGGCCAAGTGTCAGTGACAAAATCACCATTAATTGGCTGTCCTCTAACATCAGTCACAAACATTTTCTTATTTCATTGGACAGGGAATAGTGAAACTGGATTGGGCAAGCAAGCATTACATTGCACAAAAGGAATTAGCTTGCTGGTCAAGATTCCTGTCATTATTCACGTCATTTTCCATCCCTTTGCCACTTTTCAGAAATTCGAATCACTTCGGAGCTTCGCCACTTCAGAACTTCGTCACTTCGGACATTTGTAAGCTTCCCAACGTCCGAATGGCATAAAATGCATACGAATGTACATTCCGAACGAAACGAATCGCACATGTCTATCTCAAATCCCTCTGCACATTTAAATAATTGGAGTTTTTTTCAGTAACACTACAGTGGCCATTAAAGTGTAAGCTTACCTGCCCCATCAATGTAAGACCTCTTAGGTGATTCCTACAATAACACTTCACCATGCTGTTTTTTAGCTAAAAAGAAAAATGTCTAATGAGACAGAATTTTTTTTTTCTTTTATATTTTGTATCAAGTTATGTATGTTCTTCTGCTCTTCCTCCGGTCTCGAGAGTCATTTTACGGTCAGCATTTCTTTAACTGGATCATATTTCCTTAGCTGTGTTTGTGTAGATAGCTTAAGAGAATCGAATGTCTGAAGCCCAAGGTGCTCAGATGATCTGGATACCCTGGGCCTTCTTTCAACGGTTCTGTCTCTTCAGCTTCCATGGCAACCAGTATATTTCATAGCAGCATGAAACAAGATCAACACTCCATAAGTAAGAAAGAAAAAAAATGAATCTGAAAATGAAAATTTAAAAGATAAAATGCTAGGCTGACCTAAAACAAATTTCATTAATCTTCCTATCTGATATTATTGTTTTTTGTTAATGTTAGCAAGGATGTTGCAGGGTCAATAAACAGGCTTGAGCCCCAAAATGTTATTTTGCCAATCCTTTGGTAACCCCTTCCTAAAGCCCTATGCTGGCCCTTACCCTTTTCCACCCCTTTGTAGAACTCTCAACACACTAACTGTTACTTACAGATACATACAGATATACACAGACAAGCACAAAGTCTAACAGTAATGTGAATTGTCAGCTTCACAAAATTCCACCGTCAATAAATCTCACAATTGCAGGTTACTTGTCTTTGGTGTCTCCATAAGTGGGATACCAGAGGACAGAGTTGAAAAGCTGAATTGTGAATGCATTTTGAGACTGCTTGTGGGATTGTATGTGCACTAAGGGAGGCTGTTTGCTATGTAGTGGTGTGCTGGTGATGCAGTGTGTATGTGAAAGTGTGTTGTGTGTGTGTTTTCACTCCTATCCCTGGTGGTCCAGTGCAGTCTCTGTTCTCACTCCATCCCAGATGTAGACCTCATGTAAACAGTCTTGCAAGCTAGTGTCAGAGTGTTGTCGTGGTAACCTTGCAGGTTGCTCTGAACTGTCCATAGCTCACCAGACCAATTAAAGGGGGGGTGGTTAGGGGAGGGGGAGCAGAGGTCTGCAACAGGGAGTTGCTATCCATGATAGTGCAGAAAAGGATTTGGTATTGGGAAGTCTTTTGAGGCTATCAGCATTTATTCAGAATTATATTACATATATATATATACACATACAAAAAACTAAAATAATTCCTGCACTCACGCTGATACCTCCCTTTGTGACCGGGTGCCAGCCATATACAGCCAAAGTATACAAAAATCCAAATAGATGGCTGCACTCACGGTTTTATATAAAAGTCCAAAGTTTATTGAAGAGTCATAAATAAATTTGCGATCAACGTTTCAGTCCTTCGGATCCCATTAAAGTATTCAATAAAACGCCACTGAGGAAGAGTTTATTTTTATTTATAGACCTCGTAGTAATCGAAACCCAGACAAATGTGGTGCGTGCAATGTACAAAATGTTATTTATTCTAAGTCTTTGCGCATTCGTTTGATGAATAAATGTGAAGAATCGTGACAGTTTCATGGTTTGAATAGTAATTTTTTTTCTGTTGCCAGAGTTTATGCAATGTTGAAAAGTTCAATATGTACCCATATTGTCAGTGAATTTATTAGAATCATAGTCGGATTCTAAATAAAGACCTCCACTAGAACTAACAATACAGTATGAGGCCAGGTTTTTTGTTTGTTTGTTTTTTTTAAAGGGATAATATAGTTAAGGAATATAAAGCTGTAATCCTAGCACTATAGCTTAGTCTGCCTCCCCCTTCCCTCGCGGCTTCCCCTCCCTTCCAAGCAAGGTTTAAAAACCCTTTAATTACTTACCCAATCCCAGCACTGATGTCCCTCGGTACTGGGTCAGGACTCCTCCGACATCATCCAATGGGAGGACCTAATGCAATGCATGGTAGGACAGTATTTACTCAATTCTTTCCTATGAGGATTTAAGGGACGCTGGATGTCATAATGCAAAGAGTTAGGACGTCTAGTGTCAAGCGACCAAAAGTCACCTAGCAAGCAGGAAGTGCCTCTAGTGGCTGTCTGGTAGACATTGTCTTAGTGTTGCAATGTAAACATTGCAGTTTCCCTGCACCGCAATAGGGAACTGCACCGCGACCACTTCAATGAGCTGAAGTGGTGTGGGTGTCTAAAGCGTCCATTTACATTTGCAGAGATAAAACAGTGCATTGGGTTCCAACATAAGCACAAGAGTCCTAAATCTGTATTTATTTGTATTTTGAAATTGATATTTTTGATGCATGCAGCAAAAGAGAGAAAAGGGGGAGGGAGTACTACATTTACAGCTCCAAGTAAACTTTGTGAAAACTTATTTTTTGCTATATTTTTCCATCAAGTGTGCACTTTACAAATGTCAGGGGGCTGCCATTACTGTACACTCATCTCAACATTTTTTGGTCATTGAGCATGACTTCAAATCCTGGTTGGATTACGATTGGTTGAAAGTCCCAAGATGCCAAACAGAACACAACATATTGCATCAGTTTCTCATACCTCCCAAGTGTCAATATGTAGGAGGGACAGACCATATTTGGGGCACAAATGCCTCCGACCCTTTTTTCTTTCCTAATGGCCCTCTTTTCTATGAGCTCCATATTGTTGGTGTGTCTGAGTGTATAACAGAGCTCCACAGAAATAATACTCCCAGTAATGTGTCTGAGCGTATAACAGAGCTCCACAGAAATAATACTCCCAGTAATGTGTCTGAGTGTATAACAGAGCTCCACAGAAATAATACTCCCAGTAATGTGTCTGAGCGTATAACAGAGCTCCACAGCAATAATACTCCCAGTAATGTCTTTAAACTACAATAAATGTGTTTAGAAATCAGTCTGTGTAAATAAGATACACTGTTCTTGTTCTAAATTACATTTTAGTTGCATAAATGTTTATTAGTCACCTAAACATTCTCATAAAAGCCCTGCCTTCAGCCACAACCCCACTCACACCTCTAAAATTAGTGTCCCTTTTTGTCCATTTGAAATGTTGGGAGGTATGGGGTTATTACATTACCTTAGCCATGTTTTCTAAAAGCAAAACTTATTGCAGCTGGGACAAGCTTAACAGCCAGGTCCGATAAAGCACTAAGTCTCTCAATACACTAATAAAAACTATTTAAAGGGACACTATTGTCCAGATGTAACTAACTTTCAAATGTTTTATCTCCTGTTCTGTAAATAAAACTTTAATCACACACAAAGGCTTCTGTAGGGTCTAGCAAGCTATTAACAGAGAAAGATATAAAAAAAATCTAAATTGAATAGATTTTGCAATAAAGGAAGTGTAAACATTAGAGAACTCTTTCCAGGAAGTGTTTATGAAGGCTGTGTAAGTCACATGCAGGGAGGCATGACTAGGAAGCATAAACAAAGTGATTTAACTCCTAAATGGCAGAGAATTGAGCAGTGAGAATGCAGAGGCATGTTCTATACATCAGCACTGGTTCATTAAGCTAAAGTTGTTTTGGTGACTATAGTGCACCTTTAAGGCAGTGCAGAAATTTTACCGTAAAAGAGATGTAGGATAAAAGTTAAAAAATGCTTACAATTACACACAATGCAGACTGTTGATATGTACATTTTTAATAAAAATTCATTCAACTAACAAGGCTGTTATTCTGGGCAAAAAAAATTAATAAAAAAACAAACAAAAATGTGCGCTTTGTTCATATGAGACTGTAATTAATGAAGCCTCAGATATTAATTGGTTTACAGCATTTATCTGTCCAAAAGCCAATACAGTAAAACACAAAATAAATTCTGTAAACAGAATGCAGAAGCCAGGCAACATTAATAGCTTGTAATTACATATTTTGTAAGGAAAAAAAACAAAATAACAAAAACAGTTTATTAGCCATAAGCACCCAAGTGGAATACCATTGCTTCAAACTTCAATTTACTTCGTTTTGTTACAATATAAAATATTGGGGATTCATATCACTAACACTATATTTGGGCCTGACATCACGCAAACCTGAATCTGTAATTATAGACAATTCCCATGATGCCCTTGGGCTTGGTAGTTCCGCCAAACATGCAGTCTGTTTAAGTTACGTACTAGTGCACTACAACGTTGTATTAAATATGGACTTACACGTGACTTTACAGTGTTCTCATAAAACGAACACATTTGTACTTTATTTTTATTATTTTTACTATTTTTATGTTTTGAAATAAATTTATTTTTCCCAGCAATATTTTTAAAAGTCACGAGGGAAAAAAAATATATACTATATTGTTAAATATTCTCAGAATTCAAAATGACAAGAGGGTTCCGAAAATTAAAACGCAAACACAGTATCTACAAAGAGGATAGACAACGTATATGGAAGCTTGGGGTTAAACGAAAAATCACATCATTGCCAGCCAGGATATGTTTCCTGAAACCAGAATGTTGCCCTTGTGATTTCTTTCACCCTGATTTATAAATTGTGAGTCGGTTGGGAAAGAGGGGAAATTAGCGTTGTTTGTTAGACCTTCTGTGTTTAAGTGATTTAAACGAGATTTGCATTCATGCATAGATAGTAAAAAAACAAGATTTGGGGAGAATTTGGAAATTTTAGATCAACATTTTTGAGATTGAAAATTCTCCAACACAGATTTGTTTCCATTTCGGCTTTTTGGCCTAAAATGTGTAGTGTTTGTGTACATTCGTCAAATTTATTAATTTAGTGAATAGACCCCCAAACACAAATGCAATACAATGCCATTAGCAGAATATTAAATCATCATTAGCAAAACTTTCTGGGTTTTTACTCTCTTGTCACAAGACGAACCCCAAAATAAACTCCTGCTTATTCACTTAAGTCATTTCAGGGGTAACTGAGCTGAAGAAAGGGGGTGCAGGGAAGCAGAACATTTTCACTGGTTCCTTGTTAATTGAATGGAGAATATGCCTTTAAATTTAGTGGAGACTCAACGTATTTATCAATTGCTTGTCCTAACGGTTAACACAAGATGTGTGAATTACATCCGAGAATTACTACTAACTAAAACTCAGAGGTTAATGAATTTGGAGGTTAAAGAGTTCAGATCTGACACATACAGGCCACAGAGGCCTGACTCCAGTTTATTGGTGGATCACAATAATTTTCACTTGTTAATGAAAACGCCCAAAATTATTTCCTGCTTTGGAAGATACTAACTAGATAAACGCTTGACCCTGAACACTCCAAAAAAAAATTATAATAAGAATCTGTTAACTGGTTGTAGAAAAGTCTTACTCTTCATGTATACATAAAAAGTAAAATGGAAGCCAGGGTGAACAGTCACATGATCAGATAATGAGTCCTCAACATGCTCGATGCGGTTTGTTCCCGTGTGGAAGTCCTCAGCTGAATGTAAATATGGCGGCTGCATATTGGATTGAGGTATGGTTTCCTTAGGCTACAAAACTTCAGTTTTTCTTTTCAACTTTTGTTTTTTCTTCATCATCCCACGAGAAGAAAAGTAGCGGGAACATACCTAAAATACAGCCAATGGCCACTCCTATTGCTTTACCCTGTTGAGAGGAAAGAAAAAAAGAGAAAATCTGACTTTAAAATATATTTAAAATGTGAGATATTAGTCGAGGTTCATGGAAATAGAAGTTGCTAATTCTTCAACGCCAACATTTTCTGCCTCTTGAGTTTAGCTCCACTGAGCTAACCATAACAGGAAGTAATAGGACCGGTTGTTTGATTGACAGCCAGGGGCCGTAACAAGGTTAATTTATAAAAGTGCCCATTTCTATTGAAATCTGTGTTTTTTGTAAAAGAGGAGACACACTTCACACAAAAAGGAAGCTAAAATGCTTTAGAGGTCCGGACTCCGGAGTGTCCTTTTAAGATGGCTGCTGCCAATAATAGGCAGACATCATACCCAGTCTATATTCTGAAACACCCAAATACCTATGCTCGGTCTCTAACCCCTTGATATATTTAATCATTTGTTTTAGTAATCTCACTTGGATTCTACATTAAAAAATCTTGCAAGATGATCAGATGCCGTCTTTGGTGGGGGGCGATGAGTTAATCACGACATTTGATTGTTGACATTTAACAGTGATAAGACAGCAGTTTTTTTTAATTGTAAAAATTTGAGGAGTCTAGCAGGTATTATGAATTCATTATCAGACACATAACAAATATATGAATATACATTTCTAGATCATAGCATCTCTGATCACAAACACATGGGACTTTAAATTGGAAATTCTAAATATTAAGCCGTCTACTAGCTGATTGGCCTTAGTTGATGTATGATTAATATGGAGCGACTGTAAAATCAAATCTATTTACTGTTCTGTTAATCTGCTAATTTATTACATGATCACCCTGTCATTTTGATGGACACATCTTATTTTCAAATCCCATATTGCACAGTAAATAGTCACACTGTGCAACAAAACCGTATGTCACCGTATCCTCTATCTATGCAGATCCTATATGCAGAAAAAGAACATTTCATTTTAGCGAGGAAGATCTCAAGTTAATTATTTATACTCTAGTTCAGGAACATTCTGAGATTACATGAAATATTTTTCCTTTCCATCTGACAATTTACTGAGCCAGAATAGTGTACACAATCCTTTTTATAATGCGACTTCTATCAAATGCTTCTTTCAGCTTACAGACTGCAACACCCACTAATTCAGCCGCCCTCCATGAAGAACCCAGCTGGCCTAGATGTTTTGGGCGACTTCTGGATAAAATGATAAACTAATAGGACTAATCAGTTGGCATTCCAGCTCTTCTTAAGTATAACTCCCATAATTCATAGCCAGCGACCCAACAAGAGCTGGAATGCCAACTGCTAGACATCCCTGCCATGTATGAACTGCTAAAAGAGATCCCATAATGCAGTCCGATCACTATATCTTGAATATGGTGATTCCTGAAGTTCTTGCAGAGATTCTTAACTTTAGGAAGCACACGGTTATGTTAAGACACAAAACTCGGCCCAAAAAAATTCAAATCTATGCATTTAGCACCTTAATGACACCACTGATGCCATAAATGTTAAGCTATAATGGGATATGGCTTATCCGTGTAATGAATTAAGTTCATGGGTTCAGTTAATTGAATTGGGCAAATGGTTTGTAATTGTGTTCTTGAACACATTATTGAATATTCTATCCTTGTCTACTTATACAAAGTAACTAGTAATCAGTGTTACAATTAAACTAGGTACCAGAGTAAAACAAGATATTAAATATCTTATCTTTTACTAACTAACTAGTTTAATTACATTATACTTGGCTTATCACTAATAATGCCCATTGCGATCTTGAAATAGTACATTGTGCAAATATGGTTAGGAAACGAAAGATTTTGTTTTCCATTATTATAACATCTGACCCGAAATAAACTGAAAAAAAATAATTTAAAAAATAAAGAAATGTTTGGCTATATCCACACTTAAACCCACCAGAATGTTTAAGAAAATCTTTAAACGAGAATTATGAAAAATCTTCTCCCACATTTTGTGAATTCACTCAAATGATCAATAACTATTATGTCAGCTATAACAAGTAATTGTGAAAATATTGATCACAGAGTACAAGGGTCATTCACTAAAATTTACTTAGACCCGGCTTGCCACCCTTGCAGAGTTATAGATCACCTGGCACTGCATCAAGGAAAATGAAAAGTGACTTGTAATGTTCACTGATCAATGATAGGGGAATTGTCACTCTTCTGGCTATGATACCACTGAATAAAATATTGAAAACTACATTATTATTTTTTTTCTCACATGAGAAATGAGTTTGCAATTAGCATTATCATCTCATTATCATCTTGTTTAGTCTTGGCACGGCCAGGGCACACACTACATTGCAAAAAGAGAACAGCCATGTGCATTGGTTGTGGTCCTATAAGCCGTATGCATATATTATTGACACATTACTCACAGCACTGACCTACAGTCAAGGTGCATAAACAAGAATTATTTTTTTTTAAGGGAGATCCTGAGATTCTAATCCAGCGATGGACTCTAGACATTGTTAAAATATCGCAGGAAAAACAGTATTGACAGCAAACGTGCTAAACGGTAGCCGTGATGGATATAATATGCAATAAACTGAATGGAAAGAATAAACTGAACATATACTATTTTCCTGGGAGGACATGAAAACCTGGCCTGATGGCCAAAATCCTAAAGCACTTAAATACCGGGCATTATGTCGTTATGCTTTTTAGACAGTATTTATGGGAAATTGACATACCAGGTGCGCACTGACTCGTGTCTGCCACATGTCAGCCTGTTTAGGATTCAGGTCTGGGATCGGTAAACCTAATCTTGAGGATATTGCCTCAACATAACCTGCAAGACTGGGGAGAAAAAGACATTCATATCATTCATACAGAGTAAAATATTTTATAAATATATAGATATATCGGCAAAGAGTACAGAGTTACACACAGCACAATGCAGAACTGTACAGCACAGTACATGGAAAAAGTAACCTTTATTGAATTCAATTACAGAAATATATGCCAAAAGTTATATTTGAAAAATCTACTTTTCCTTCAACACAAAAAGCAAACAGGCACAATAAATATTACTTATGACTGATGAGCTAAAGGCTCAATGTATCAAACCCTACTTCAATGTTTCTGCAAAAAAACTTAAAGGGGTCATATATTCACCCAGACCACTTCATCTCAATGTAGTGGGTGCAGTGGTTCTTTAGAACATTGTATGTTTACATTGTAGGTTTCAATCCACCTCTACTGGCTGTATGTGAAATTGAAGCTCATAAGAAAGTACTGAATTCAATGCTTTCTTATGAGAAGTATTTGGATCAGTGAGTGACACTCGCTGTGCATGCGCATCAGTTTCCAATGCTCCCCTATAAGGAGTATTGCATTGGACACCAGTGAGAGAGTCTGATAACGTTGCGTGAGGTGGAGCAGCTGGAGTAATGGTAAAATAAAACATTTTTAGATTTTTGCTCCAAACGGAAGGGAAGGGGGATTAAACAAGTCTTCAAATAGGGCATATAGCGTTAGGAATACAGGTCTTTATTCTCAATGCTATAGTGTTCCTTTATTATGTAGGGCAACAACTTCATGATCGAAGGGGAGATCAGACTGCCATTATTGGGTTGGAATGTATTTTAGTTTTTTTGCTAGTTTGTTGCAAAATTGGAAATATCTTCAAATTGGGTTATTTGCCTTCTTTTGGATCAACAGCAGAAACAAATGTGGCTGAACTTGGTGGAAGCAAGGCTTTTTCTGGCTATGCAAGCTTTTTACTGAAACTTTGGGATGGAGCAGAGTATCCGCTTATAAATTCTAAGGGATATTTATCTCACCTGTTTGGCTTTTGTAGTGAATTACAATTTGATATTAACTGGTGGTGTATATTTTTAGATTTGCTCAGCGTGCGCTCTTTACCGTTCGCAAGGAGTACAAGAATACATTCATCAGATACAGACAGTGGTTTGTCTACTAATAACTGTATCTCATTGCCAAGTGATACAAGTATATAATGTGAACAACAGGATACCCAGAAAACCTGATAGATTCATTGCTATGGTTCTAGAATGCCCGTTTCTGTTATGCAAATGATATTCTTTCAACTCATATCATCAGCCACTTTAGTTTAAATAAAATTTATTTTTGTAGCAGTCCAAGGCATATGAATCTTAACTGGGTAATGCACTGCTCTATTGCAGAGAAAATTAGATTTATTCTTACATTCACCACTCTTCCAGGAGAATTTTATATTTAGAATTTACATTGTAAAAATATGCAATGATTCACACGGAAGCGTGTACCCGAGTCAGCAAGTCGTAAAGATGTATTAGCAAGCGGCATTAGCTTCTGGGGAGATACTGGGAGAAAAGACTTAACAGCTGCACAGGTCACAAAGATATCCTTATAAACTGGAAGGGAGTGAGATGAATACCTTATCAGAACATGACATATTGGTAGTAAATGTTCCCAGCAGACTGATGTACAATTTTTATTTATATTATTTGTAGCTTGCACTTTATTTAGTAGGTGTACTGTATAGTAAAACAATGTACATACCAAGAACACATGTAGTACAGTTCAAAAAGGATAGTTTAATATTCAGAAAGACTATTCCCTGTACTGTACTAAAACGTTGAACTAATAAATTCATAAAATAACCTCCACCGTCGTTATAGTCAACGAATAGAAACCTAATTTTTCTCTAAAATAAATACACCCCTCAATAAAATTTTACAGACTTGTTAAAGGTATTTTTTTTGGATAAGCATGTACATACATAATACTGAAAGATTTACTTTTATAATATTTATTGCATCTACTTTGAAAGGAAGGAAAGGATGTATCATGAGCAGAACCGGTCATTCGGGATTAATCAGATGGTACACTAACCGAAGGAGCTATCTGGACATAAATGAATAGAGAAAGATTGTCAAAGAAAATGCTAAATCGCATACCATTTAGTATTTTTCGACAATCTTTCTTTCTTTATTTATTTAGCAAAGAAAAGGGAAAAATAAGTCAATAAAACAGTTGCGTAAAGAACAAGTGAAAGAAAATTCATCAGTACAGATCATTTTAAAGAATTTTAGGTACATACAATTCCCCAAAAAATCAGCAGTGAACCCTGTCTTTAACAAAAGCCATTTAGCGTTTTCATACTGCGTATGAATCTTATTTATAGTTACGTTAATGCATGTTATGCGGTTCCCTGTTGTAGTGGTGTGTGCTATTTGGTTTTTCCATTCTAATAATGTTCCAAATATTACTTACCCAAGTCCAGCTAAATCAGACACAAGGTTTCCTAAGGCAGCAGCTGCAAAAAAAAAAAAAATAGATACTATTTTAGAACATGAAAAACAATCAAAGCCTTAAGTGTACTTTAACGGCAAATAGTCACAAAAATTCCAGAATGTTACAATAAAAGGTTCACAATGGAGTTTATCTGAATTAAAGGGAAACTATAGTCACCAGAACAACTACAGCTTATTGTATTTGTTCTTGTGAGTAGAATCAGTTTCTTCAGGCTTTTTGCAGTAAACACTATTTTTAGAGTGCATTGTTTACATTACAGTCTAGGGATACCTCCACTGGTCTCTCCTCAGATGGCTGCTAGAGGTGCTTCCTGGGGCAGTGCTGCACAATGCATTTCTATGAGGAGATGCTGACTGGCCAGGACTGTGTTTGGCTTGTGCTGGCTCTGCCCCAATCTGCTTTCTTGACTTTTTCAGCCAATCTAATGGCTTAGATTAATCACTTCTAATGGTGTCAGTCAAGCAGGCAGATCAATGGCAGAGCCAGCAGCCACAGGCTGCAATAAAGGTAAGGCTTTGCTATATTTAGAGAGGGCAAAGAGGGTCAGGGGGGCTAGATGGTGTTTTTAACACTATAGAGTCAGGAATATATGTCTGTGTTCCTGACCCTATCATGCTCCTTTATGAACCACTCTGGAGATGTCAAGGTTTGCTAATCATACTGGGAGTAAACTTTGAGCTGGATATTCGATTTCAAGGTTTACTATAGCTGAAATGTTTGGGAACTCTCTGGGATTTATTCGCTAAACTTTGAGATAATGGACAGAAGCAGCATGGGAACATTTTCCAATTTTACTGAAAAGGAGTTTAGCTTTGTTTGTTAGGTGTTTTTTTTCTTTTTAAATGTGGCTGTTTAATCCTAAATGTTTTAAGTTTGTTCGCTCAGCAAACTGCATGGTTTAGCCCACATGCCCCCTAGACTGTAATATTAACGTACATAATAATTGTGTTCTTCTAAACAGCATTAAATCATATTTCTGTAATTTCCCCTACAGTTAATCTTTTATTGCTCTTGCTTGTGCTGAAATGATCTAGATTCTGCAGAAGTATTTTCTAATAGCTTATATTGCATTGATAACATCATTTGTACAATACCATGCTGTCAGAGAAGGCCTTTTTTGAAAAAGAAAAATAGAACTATAATTCAGAGGACAAAAGGGTCAGAGAAGCCATTTTTTTGATTAAAAAAAAAAAGTAAAATAACAGAACTATAATTCAGACAAAGGAATCGATTTAATAAACAAAATAAGAATAATGTTCCAAATGGTTTATCTACAGAAATCAGAATTAAAGTCTATGAGATGTTTTGTAGATAAATGATTAATAAAGTTTTTCTAATTGTGTTCAATCATTTGAAAAGCTTATTAAATCAAGTCTTAAAGCAGCACCGTCACCCAAAAATGAGTATTTCATAAAGAAAACATTTTTATTAAATACTGATATTGACTGTGTTGGAATTTTCACACTTTTGAGAGAGTTCAGAGAAGGACTACTAAACTGGTTTATGGATTATAGGATAAAACTTACAAGGAGGTTTAAAACAGCACTGTCATGGCCGGATCCAGTTGTTTTTTTTTTTTTTTAACCCTCCCTCCCGACTCCACTACATCTAATTGCCCCCCTAGTTACCTCCAAATGCCCCTAGGCCCCCCATGTAACGGATCACCTGGCACCCAGACTGGGTACCTCCGTTGAAGGATGCTCCTAGCCCTTTCTGAGGGCTCCAAGCACTCCAGCTGACACCATAACCACCGTAGACTCCTTCAGAGAGCAAGACAGGAACAAGCTCTTACAAGAGCTTAGTAGTGATATAGCAAGGGAGTATGACTAGTATAGTAATCCCTTTTAGCAGATTCCCCCAATTAGAGATGGCACTCCAAATTGAGGGTGAAGTAGAACTGAAGTTTTTAATCAAACACTCTGCTTTTATGCCCATTCTACAATCATAGTACCACCCACAGGGTTTTGAAGTACAACCAATCAATACGTACAATACACTGAGACACTCCCACACAAAATCCTCCCCTCTGCCTGTGATACAATTACCTTACATAATGGGTTAATGTAATTATCACAGACAGAGAAATACAGTTTTTACACATATACTGTAACTTTAAAAACGTGCATTCAATCTTCATAAAAATGACATTTTTATTCAGCACACTTTAATTATAAACATAGTCAAAATTCAGCCAATTCCATCCATGGGGTTAAAATGCATTAGTTCCAGGGAAGGTAAAACTTCAGCGGTCTTTGTGCCGTTCTGTAGCCGATTTTAGTTCCATGAGTTTGGCGGCACACACCGCTGACTGCATTCGAATGAATCAAAATGGCCGCCGCCACGTGTTCGGTTTTCTAATGGCGGCCATTTTGACTACTTCGGCACTTCGAAGTTCCATGCCAAAACTGCAGGTCCTTTCCCAAAGTACTTAAAGGGCCAGAAACAGCACAATAAAATACAATATGTCCAAATACTGTATTTAAAGGGCCAGATCTTCCAGGGAACATAATCACATGGCAAAAGGCTGGCAATCAGTCTTCTCCAATGCCCAGTGGCGAGGTCGGTTTCGCCACACCCCATATTACCTATTTCTGCATCTTTATTTTGTGCCTGGACCTAGGTTCTGGGCGCCGCCATCTTTGTGTGGGTAGATGAAGGCCCTGTGGGAAACGTCATCTGCCCACACAAGGTCCCCTGCCGTATTGTAATTTAGAGCCCCCACCTACCACTCGGGGTGGGGGCCAGGGGAGGACAATAGGTGCCCCCATTTTCATTTAAGGCCCCCACCCGCCACTCGTGGGTGGGGGCTGTGGTAGGAAAATATGTTTCCCCCCCCCCATTTTTATTTTTGTGTGGGGGCCAGGGGGAGGACAATAGGTCCCCAACCTTATTGTAATTTAGGGCACATACCCACCGCTCAGGGGTGGGGGCCAAGGGGGACCCTATGTTCCCAATTTACTTGAATAGCCCCCAGGCTAGTTAAAAGATGCCCCACCATGGGCTTTTAACTGTTTACTAGACATGCCCCTACTTGCGATATAGCGAGTAGGGGCAGATTAATTACCAAGTAATTTTCACTTAGTAGTAGTAAAGTTGGCTGAATGACCAATCTTGGTCTTTCTGCCTTTTGGTAGATAGCTCCCTGATACCGTGGGAATTAGGGAGCTATCTACTAAGCGGCTGCAAGATGCATCCGCGATCGGATCGGAATTTCATTCATTTGAATGAAATTTCATTCATTTGAATGAAATTTCGAACCGAACAAAAGTCCTGAATTTCGTCCTAACACGAATGGACGAACTGCTCTCATTCTGTTAGGACGAAATTCAGTTGTTTTGTCGGCGTTTGGGAATACGGAAAGGAGACATCGCGAGAACACGGAGGAAAGGTGAGAATTGTGGGAAAATTGCATTGACCACAGAAAACGGAGAACACTTTGTTCCTCCGCTGGTCAAAGTGTAGGAAACCTCTATAAGACAAAGTAGTTCCTACTTTGTCTTATGTTTTAAAGAAAACTCGAGCAGACAGGAAGAAATGAAAAACAGATCCTGACAGAGGGAGAGAAGAGGAAGCGATTAAAGAAAGGTAAGTTCGGCATGACAGTGCCACTTTAAAGGATCTTATCATGTATAGCTTGTAGGAGAAACATTTAAATACATAAAGGGAATCAACACAGTAAAGGAGGTGACTATATTTAAAGAAGAAAAACTACTATAACAATAGGGCATAGTCTTAAATTAGAGGGGCAAAGGTTTAAAAATAATATCAGGAAGTATTACTTTACTGAGAGGGTAGTGGATGCATGGAATAGCCTTCCAGCTGAAGTGGTAGAGGTTAACACAGTAAAGGAGTTTAAGCATGCATGGGATAGGCATAAGGCTTTCCTAACTATAAGATAAGGCCAGGGACTAATGAAAGTATTTAGAAAATTGGGCAGACTAGATGGGCCGAATGGTTCTTATCCGCCCTCACATTCTATGTTTCTAAATTCCAACCCAGTCAAAAGATATCCTGTGACAAAGTAGGGACTACAAGGTTCTTTCTTGACATTCTATTCTGATCTTATTTTAATTTCTGCATTTCCCTCTTTCATTTACATGACACGTTGTAAAAAAACTGAGCCATGGTCACATACATGAACAACATCTAACAGCATCTCTTACAAACTGTGAAAGAAGCTTTTGGCAAGCTGATTTTCTAAAGCAGTATATTCCTTTTTCATGTAATATGCTCAGCTCTGCTGAAAATAATGCGAGAAGCTGGAGTCGCTTCCTGTTTTGTGCAGAGTTCACTGCAGATGCTGTAAAGCCTGGGGATTTACAGCATGTATCATCTTTATATTTATTTTTGCATATTTGTAATTAATTAAATATGTAGCTAACCACCAGACTGCACGGATATACATTTACAGGGTTACCAAACTGCTTCCGATTAGGCTATTCTGGTCTTAAATTTGAAACTCACCTTGAATTCTGACTTTAGAATAACCATGTTAAAATGTTCCCCTTGCTACACAGCTATTTTAAAATGAGCTGGTTACCTGCAGAGAGGTTTTAAAAGTCCTGCATGTTAATCTATTTTTTTTTAATGCTTCAACTATATTTTAATAATAAATTAAAATTAAATGAACTAAAATAGAACACTTTTCTTATACATAACATTTTAGCCTTTACCTAATGTGTTGCTCGTTGACATTTGACATCTTTAACCATCATTTAAGGACTAAAACAGGGGCCTAGTGAGATCAGGTCTTTCCTGACAGGGCGCCAACCAGGGATTAATTAGATTTGTACCGTCCATGGCCATAGTATGTCGAGATCAAAGGAAAGGAAAGAGCTGAGATGAAATGGGGCAGGCAAGTACCATTATAGGAAACTAAAAAGAACAGCGGTGAATGAAATACTTAAACTGCAGACCTTGTCACAAGGGAGACAATAAATACATCAAAATCCAGGATTATTGACCTAAATGGTTCCTGACGTGGAAATCCCCAGATACATTTATATTTAGAAAACAATGGCAAAGGCGCAATGAATGAGCTTCTTTTGAGCAGACCCTAAATCTATTACCCAGGGCAGATAAATGGAGATTAAACTATGTCAATGTAACAAGAGAGATCTAAAATAAGAGCGCAATGCACTATTTGCGTTGTCCTCATTATCAAAGCTGGCTATAAGACTACAAAGGAGTGAAATTAGATTAGTACACATTCAGCTGTTACAAATTGTTATAGAAAGAGCCCTAAGCTACCAATACAAACTGATTTTGTATTGTTTTTTTATTTTTTATAAAGACTTGTCCCACAGCAGATCTACAAAATAAATGTTGGAAGAATATTCATGATTTGGTATTAAAAACATTTTTATACCACCGATTTGAAAGGTTCCCTTTGATTTTGACACCGCTTGGTGCAACAAGTATATCAGCGGTTTCATTATTGCTTCAATAAGCAAGCCCGATATTATTGTCAGGTATTGTACGCAACTTGTCTGCAATACAGCATAAGTAGGTACAGTAGTAAAATTGTGATCCAAGCATTTTCAAGCCCGGTGATACGTACGTATTGTTAGAATTGGCAGAGTTAGCACCAGATGATGAGACTGGACTAATGTTTATCATGATAATGAAGTTCATTAAGATAAGAACATTTCAAGAATTTTGCAGTGAAATCGAAGGGGAGAGGAATGTACTTACCTGCCATGGTAGAAATTCCTAAAATGACACCGATGGACAATTCTATTTGTGTTCCCTGTAAATAAAAAAATAAAAAAAGAAGGGAAAATTGTGACTGGGTTTCTACCAACCAATCTATAGCGATCCAGTACAGTATTGCGTTTTACACTCTGGGAGCAATACAGGTTTTTATGACATTTATGAGATTTCTAGATAAAGTTTGCTTCAAAATATGGTCTGCTAGCTCACTAGTTTGGGGAAAACCCTTAAAAATTTTGTTTATTCCAATCTGTACCTTTATAATGTTTTGCTGGGAAACAGCTACTTGATGTGTTTTGATTTAAGTCTTGAAACATAATATTTCTGCTCAGTGATGTTAGGTTTACTGATTAAATAAATCTGATAACACAAGTTCTATTAAAATAATAAACCGGGTCTAACATAAAAAAGGATTATTGTTACTATATGAGAATCCTGATGTTTCAGAGAAGGTAATAGTAATATGGCGAACCTCACAGTTCTTTGTAAAGCGGCACAGTCATGCCGAACTTACCTTTCTTTATTTGATTCCTCTTCTCTACCTCTGTCAGGATCTGTTCTTCATTTCTTCCTGTCTGCTCTAGTTTTCTTTAAAATATAAGATAAAGTAGGGACTATTGGTCTTATGGAGGTTTCCTACGCCTGACCATCTCTGACCAGAGGAGAAGCAAAGTGTGCTCCGTTTCCTGTGGTCAGAGATATTTCCCCACAATTTTTACCTTTGATCCGTGATCTCGCGATTCTTCCTGTCAGTATTCCCGAACATCCTGTCACTTAGACAGAATGCCGGAGAAACTACAGAATTACGTCCTAATAGAATGAGAACAGTTTCTCCATTCATATTAGGACACAATTCGGGACTTTGTTCGGATCGGAATTTAATTCGAATGAATGAAACTCCAATCCTATTCGTGCTGGGGCTGCATCTTGCAGCCACTTAGTAGATAACTCCCTAATTCCCACTGTATTAGGGAGCTATCTACCAAAAGGCTGAAAGACCTAAATTGGTCTATCAGCCAAATGTACTAATATCAAGTAAAGATTACTTAGCTATATTGCGAGTAGGGGCATGTCTACTAAACAGTGAGCAGCCTATGGCTGCTCTCTGTTAAAAGAACAAACAAAAAAACCTAGTGTCCACCCAACCGTGCCGCATGATCAGGGGCTATTGAACTGACCTATTGCGCCCCCCTTGACCCCCACCCCGAGCGGCAGGTGGGGGCCCTAAATGAAAATGTGGGTGGGTACCGATTGTCCTCCCCCCGGGTCCCCACCACTGAGTGGCGGGTGGGGACCCTAAAGTGCAATAAGGGAGGTGGAACCTATTGTCCTCCCCCCGGCTCAAGGGTGGGGGTGGGGGTGGGGAGGACAATAGGTCCCCCATTCAGTTCAATAGTCGCGACTTGCACGGCGCGGGTGGGGACTCGGGAGGGGAGACACTATGAGGCTTTTATTGTTATTTATTTTTCAGTGAGACATGCCTCTACTTGGAATATAGCGAGAAGGGGCAGAATTTACTAATACTAAGTAATCTTTTGGTAGATAGCTCCCTAATACCGTGGGAATTAGTGAGCTATCTATTAAGCGGCTGCAAATATGGATTGGAAATAGGATTGGAGTTTCATTCATTCTAATGAAATTCCAATCCGAACAAAGTCCCAAATTGCGTCCTAACATGAATGGAGAAATTGTTCTCATTCTATTAGGAGGAAATTCAGTAGTTTCTCCTGCATTCTGTCTAAATGACAGGACGTTCGGGAATACGGACAGGAAACATCACAAGATCACGGAGGAAAGGTAAGAATTGTGGGGAAATTTCTCTGACCACAGGAAACGGAGCACACTTTGCTCCTCCACTGGTCAGAGATGGTCAGGCGTAGGAAACTTCCATAAGAAAAATAGTCCATACTTTGTCTTATGTTTTAAAGAAAACTAGAGCAGACAGGAAGGAATGAAGATCCTGACAGAGGTAGAGAAGAAGAATCGAATAAAGAAAGGTAAGTTCGGCATGACTGCTTTAAGTTTTAGATAAACTCCGATTCAACAGATGCCATACTTTCAATGCCAGATCCCAGCTTAGAATAGGAAACACCCCCCCCCACCCCCCCATTTACATACATTTAAATTAACTAATTTGGATAAATGTTGGAGGGGTTGTGGACAAATAGGCTCATTGTGTCACATACTGTGGACGTGTCCCAAGGTGGGCTCATATTGGAAATCAGTCCACAAATTAATATATTCAATCACAGATTCAATCCCCCAGTTGACCCCTGAACTTTGTCTATTTAAAAGTATTCCAAATCACCTTCCAAAACACAAAAAAATAATGCTAGGTCATATTTTAATTGCAGCAGCTACAGCCATGACCAGATATTGGAAAACTAATGACTTGCTAGAGATTGTATACTGCATTCTAATAAACATCACAAATTAATCTACCGCGCATACTCGGAATATATTATTATATTAAGACAAGAATGGGGAAAAAAAATGTCCAAAGCAAATACAATTTAGTAATAGGATACCCATTTAACTAAACTATGTAAATATATACTGTTAATATTGCAACAACTTTCTGTCATTTTGGAAATAGGATAGACTAAATAACTAAAAAAATATATTTTTAAGGATGATTTTACTAATTTTTTTACAAAATATTTTATTGTTTCGTTTCTTTTTATTATTTTTCTCACAATTTGTAATTTTTCTATTTTATTTATTTTTGAATTTGTTAATTTTTCTTTTTTTATTATATTGTTGGTAACTTTGTACATTCATTGTTGTTAAAACTCATGTATTATCAATGTGTATTGTCGATATGTTTATTGTTATTACATTATATGTATATATATTTTAAAAACTCAATAAAAATATTTGAAACAGATCCCAGCTTAGCCCATGGAAACTCCCCGGTATTTTATAATGTGTTTATCCAGTATAACGCACAGTGTGCAGTACATTACCCAGTGGAAACATGAGTGTCTAAATGCCTGAAATGCCTGTTTGTTAAAATATACCAGGTCTCTCTCCCTTGGGGTTCTTCCACTGCTGCCCGAGAGTAATGGGAGAAGTAATTTAAGAGCAACTGGACAGCTGCAAAATGATTGATTTTTGTTGCTCACATGAATTTATGCATTAGTATTTATAGTTCTGTCTAAAGTGGGTGTTTCCTCTGTACTGCAAACATGCAAGAAAAACAGAAAAGATAGGAGAATTTCCTATAAATATTGATTGCAGAGTTTTATTCAAAAATGTTTGAAGATTGCAGTGAAATCTCCATAAATTGCTCCAAAGTCTTTACTCTTCTGTCAAGAGATGCTAACTCTATGCTGCAAAATTGCTGTAATCACTAAAAGACTATACAAAAAATTAAATCCGTAAGGCTGTAAGAAAAGTTAAACATACTTTATTACATTGGAACATTTAGAATGTTGGGAATAAATTTAGAAAGCAAGGGGCATATTGGCTATTACAGGACGGATTGTTTTAAAAATCATTCACACTTGTGGACAAAACCTGTACACTTAGTGAAAACATCACATGTAATAAGACCCCTACACACAATACTAATGGGAAGTGAAGTTCAGAGTCTGTCCTATAGTGTGTGAATATTCTTTGCCAAGGACAATGCCATAATATTTGTTAACATTTT